AAAATTTCCCCCCCCCCCCCCGTCATGTTACTAATGTCCACATGGAAAGTTAGATGAGCAAACTTTGATGTGATTATGCATGATTTCTTAAAGATTGTTTTTGTATCGTGTGTGCATAAACTATGCAGAAGCAGCTTGATATACAGTTAAAATGGGGAAGAGAAGATCGCAGAAGGATCAGCTATTCTCTTTTAGTAATCCCAGGATTTCGAAACAAATCTAGATAAAGCTTTCAGTTGTATCTTGAATTTACGTTTTGTGTGACCCATAACTAGGCTCCAATTTTTACTATGTTTTTACATGTATCATTTATTTATTTATTTATAAACATTTTATGGACACCCATCTTGTGAAATGCAAATTTGGGCAGCTCCCAACGTTTTTATAAACCTTATTTCTGTTGTTTCATAACATTTCCTTTCTAATTCTTTCTCTTCTCCCCCTTTTTTCTTGCAACCATGTCACCCAGTAATTAATATCACTGATGTAAGTCAAAATGCATTGACGATAACGGGCCTTCAAGGGAAAACCAGTTACCACCTGACTTTTAGAGCCTATACAGCTGGAGGATATGGACCTCCCAATACCTTGTACGTGATTACAAAGGAAGATGGTAAGTAATAAGACAATTGGACATTTGTTTTGCACTTGGGCATTGTCGTGGGTTGCTAGAACAAATGGGTTAATGGCGTAGTCCCCAGCAAGCATTATGCTGAGTTCCACAATGGCTGTCAAAGGGATTCAGACCATTAACGTTGATCACCTCAGTTACTTATAGCATTTCTTAAAATTCCAGGAATTTTGCAATTTATGACAAAGTTGTTACAAAGTTTTTGGTTGTTTTTTGCACCTGGGTTCTGGAGGTCTTCAGATAAGGAGCCATTAACTTCAGTAAGAGGCAGTTCTGCTCTCTTTCCTCTGGAGCTGTGGGTTGGGTGGTTCCTCACTGAGAGGAATACATGCTCTGTTTCCTGGGATTGCGCCTCCTCTCCTCAACAAAAGATAGTCTGGTGCCTTGCCATCTTCAATTGCTTTCTGGCTCTCCTCGGGTGGGTGTAGGGGGTTTGCTATGGACCCGGACAGTGGCCATTTTCTTTTCTACAGTTTTTCTTGCTGTGAAAAAAAGGACAAATGAGGTGGGATGCTGGCTGGCTGCCAGATTTATTGCTGCCAAAGTGGCCACTGGAGGAAGTGCTGACTGACTTATGAAGGGGGAGCTCATGTGGTATAGTGGTTTAGGGGTTGGACTAAGGCTGGGGAGGCCCAGGTTCAAGTCCAACCTCAGCCATGGAAGCTCTCTAGGTCACCTTGGGCTGGTTTTCAGCCCATCTATCTCACAGTGAGAGTTAAATGCAAAACTGTGAGCTCCACAAATAGAGGCAGGATCCAGATCTCCAAATAAAATGGGGAAAAGGCAAAGATAGTAATGAAATGCTGTTCAGCAGTGTGAAAATACCCTGCGGGTCGGTAGGGAAGTGAATTGAAGGAAGACTGCAGGCCCAGTTGAATCCAGAATAGTGAGCGGGTTCGATTTATATGTACTTAAAGTTGGCTATGGAAAGAGATGAGAATTAATGGGTGTTAAACATAAATCCTTACAAATAGGACGCTAAAAGAAGAGAAAGAGATGGCATTGTTCATTGGTCCAGTTCAGTGAGCCCCACTGAGGTCAGAAGGTGAGGTGTGAATTAACAGAAAACTTAAGAATACTCTTTCCAATATAGCTAGAAGGTGTTCAAGCATGAAGCTGCCTTGTATACTTTTAAAATTATATCAGAGCTTTATCAGTAATCTTTTTGCTTAGTGTCTAGGATTCTACCATTTTTATTTTTGGAATACAGTGGAACCTCGGGTTACGAACAGGATACGCGGCCATTTTCCTTCTTGTGACACGGTCCGCGGCCATTTTTCCGCCCCTGACACGTG